GGCTGCTGCAGAAGCCAGAGAAAGGTCAAATGCTGAAACTAGGGACAGAGAAGCAAGGGAGAGAGCTGCTGCATCTGAAGCAAGGGTTAGAGCAGAACGAGCTGCTGTGGAGAGAGCTGCTGCAGAGGCTCGAGAAAGGGCTGCTGCTGAAGCTCGAGAAAGGGCTGCAGCTGCTGCAAGGGCAAACCAGCAAAAGAATGAAAATGATCTTGAATCCTTCTTCAGCATGGGTCGAGCAAGCAGTGCACCAAGGCCAAGAGCTAATACTTCAGTGAGATTTATTGCTTCAATCGTGGTTCATTATCCAATTTATTGCTTTCCATAAGATCCACCCTCTCATTTCTTTTTCTTTTCTCTTTTTTTTTTTTTTTTTTTTTTAATTTTATAAATTCTTGCAGGATCCTCTTTTTGATACACAGAACAAGGGAGCACCTGAAGCAGCCAGGAGAACATCTGTCGGATCCTCATCTGGCATGAGGAAAGCATCTTCAACTGCAAATTTTGTTGATGACCTCACTTCAATTTTTGGAGGTACCTGCAATTTTGAGATGTAGAAATAATTGTTTGTAAAATAGTGATATGTATTTTCTTTTTCGTAATTTAGGTTTATAATTGACTATTTTTTTCAATTGCTAAAGCTGCTGCATCATCAGCTGGAGAGTTCCAAGAGATTGAAGGGGAAAATGAAGAAAGACGAAGAGCCAGGTTGGAACGCCATCAAAGAACTCAGGAGCGGGCGGTATGTATTATGTCACAAGATTTCACTTCAGAATCTTTGTAATCGTGTTCCAATTATAAGGACAAGTGAGAGTGCATACTGGTTCTTGAAATGAAAAATTGGTTTGGAGACTAAACATGAGCATGTTTTAAACTGCTTTCTGGCATCAGTTCATATTCTGAGTTTGCGTGTTCAGGCAAAGGCATTGGCTGAGAAAAATGAGCGTGACCTTCAAGCCCAGAGGGAACAAGCTGAGAGACATGTAAGTTACAGATGTGAATTTCCTCATAGTTCTAACTATTGCTTGTTCTATTTTTCTATCTCTCATTTCTTTCAAATAGGAGGTTGACACTGATGTACCCTTTCACCTTTATCAATATGCTATTTACAATACATCAATCATTTGGAAGTTATTTGTTTTTTCTTCCTTTCCTTCACCTATAATGCCTGTGTTTTTTGCAATCCGTCACCCTTTGGAATTCAGTTTTTCTCATTCTTTTTAGGTTGCATATATCTTTTGTAATGAATTAGTCTATGGATACTCTTATTATTCTATTTTTTCACTATTTTCACCAATCATAAGTACTGAGTTTGTTTTGGGCAGTGGCATCATTCTTTGTGTATTTACGTATTTTGCAATTCTCTGTCCTGAAAGGTGCTTTGCTTCTTGTTACCTTTTTGTCTGGATGGATGTTTATAATTTGAAGTTCTTTTACTTTTTTTTGGGTGTATGTGAGTGTTGGGAG